TCAAATCAGTAGACTTAAAAAATGCTTTACAGTATTCTTAACTTTGGTTACATAATCATAAGATAGACATTGGTATCTTTCTATCTTCTAAGCTAAGTATTCTTAGCTTTGGTTACATAATCACAAGATAAACAGAGATATCTTTCTAATGACAATTTGTCTTTCTGAGAAAGATGGCTAGCGTTAATGAGAACGTTAATTTTTACGACCTTAAAGTTTTATAAAGGATGTCTAGGACCATTATTCTTTATGATTAGAGTTGATCAAACAGTATCCTGTATCTTTTAAAAGAAGGTATAGCTTAGAGGCAAACTTAACTGCATAATAAATGGCTTTGCATATTAGAAAGTTACTGAACAAGACACTAGTCCATACATCAAGCACCATTAACATATTGTTTGATGGATACCAGCGTATAACTGTTTGTGTGTGTTTCTGTTTTTAATGTTATCCGGGAAAGCACATCTCTTTCTTCCTTAAGTTTGTTTTCTCATATATCAACCTTCTAAGACAATTTTTAGAAGCCAATCCTATCTAATTGAATGTCCAATGATTTGTGTTTAACGAACAGTTAAAGACAGCGACTTTAGATCGGGAGAGATGGTGGGAATGGTTGCCATGAACCTGCCAATTGGTAGATCACTTCATGATGATAATGATGATTTGAGCATTATAAAATTATACGCATATTATGAATTACAGTCTGTATTTTTATGTTATGATTATTTTTTCCATAAGTACCACCTTTTTATATATATATATACATTTTCTTTTTATCCCTTTAGGTATCATTACCAATTGATGTGCTTGATAGAGGCCTCCATATTAGGTTCACATTTAAGCATCGTTCGTCTACTGAATGTAAGTACATATCCAAAAAAAATCTCTGAAAATATTGAAACATGAAACATTCGAAGACATTTTATAACAAAATATGCCGCCAAAACCACCATACTGTCGCTAAATGTCAGAATGAATAATTAGCATAAGAATGTAGCTGTATTGTATACTTTAATACGTAGAAACAATAATACCTTTACTCATAACTTTAACAATAATAAGGCAATTCCGGTAAATGACCAATCATTTTAAAGCTAATGTGGAGAATACGAATATATTAAAAACTAAATGTTCTTGTTTTGGTCACTGATCGTGGTTTTGACCTGTCTCTTATACACATCTAGATGTGTATAAGAGACAGAATTTAGTATAAACTGCAAATTATTAATATCAGAAATTCATTAACTCCTGTACAGGTGAGGTGAGAAATGACATTTATATAACGCTGATCCAGGGTGAGTTTGAGAAGGGCAGCAAGAAAACATACAAAAATGTTCAAGTCACTATGGAAGTGTGTACTAGCGACGGTAAAGTCCTAGAGGACGTACTGTACCCTGGGGCAGGGGATCCGGCTACGTCTGTCTACAGGTCCGTTGTCTACTATCAGATCAAGTCGCCTAAATGGTTTGAAACAGTTAAGGTAAGTTAACATAATACAAATTGTAATACCCTGGATTGGAGCTTTAGCCACATGCTTGCCGGTCAACCCCAGTAAAATTTGTCTTTCTGAGAAAGATGGCTAGTGTTAATGAGAACGTTAATTTTTACGACCGTAAAGTTTTATAAAGGATGTCTAGGACCATTACTCTTTATGATTAGAGTTGATCAAATAGTATCCTGTATCTTTTAATAGAAGGTATAGCTTAGAGGCAAACTTAATTGCATAATAAATGGCTTTGCATATTAGAAAGTTACTGAACAAGACACTGGTCCAAACATCAAGTACCATTAACATATTGTTTGATGGATACCAGCGTATAACTGTTTGTGTGTGTTTCCGTTTTTAATGTTATCCGGGAAAGCACATCTCTTTCTTCCTTAAGTTTGTTTTCCCATATATCAACCTTCTAAGACAATTTTTAGAAGCCAATCCTGTCTAATTGAATGTCCATTGATTTGTGTTTAACGAACAGTTAAACAGACAGTGACTTTAGAACGGGAGAGATGGCGGGAGTGGTTGCCATGAACCTGCCAATTGGCAGATGACTTCATGATGATAATGATGATATTGAGCATTATAAAATTATACGCATATTATGAATTACAGTCTGTATTTTTATGTTATGATTATTTTTTCCATAAGTACCACCTTTTTATATATACATTTTCTTTTTATCCCTTTAGGTATCATTACCAATTGATGTGCTTGATAGAGGCCTCCATATTAGGTTCACATTTAAGCATCGGTCGTCTACTGAATGTAAGTACATATCCAAAAAAAATCTCTGAAAATATTGAAACATGAAACATTCGAAGACATTTTATAACAAAATATGCCGCCAAAACCACCATACTGTCGCTAAATGTCAGAATGAATAATTAGCATAAGAATGTAGCTGTATTGTATACTTTAATACGTAGAAACAATAATACCTTTACTCATAACTTTAACAATAATAAGGCAATTCCGGTAAATGACCAATCATTTTAAAGCTAATGTGGAGAATACGAATATATTAAAAACTAAATGTTCTTGTTTTGGTCACTGATCGTGGTTTTGGCACGGCAAGCCCAATATTTTCTATTTTTCATAATATTTTAATTATCTTTCTTAGGGGTTAGTTGGTATGTCACACTGAGTGGTAGTTAAAATCATGATACTCTATTATGAAAATTACCTCTATATTTCCAATTTTTATTGAAGCTAATAGTTTATATAATAACAGAGAATATGTTTTTTTTTTTTTTTTAAATATGTAGCCAAGGATAAACAGGAGAAAATATTTGCGCTGTCCTTTCTGAAACTCATGACAGATATTGGTACAACAGTGACCAACGATACACATGAGATCCTCGTCTACAAGGTTAGTCACAAAAAAAATGACATTCAGTAAGTCTTGTAAGAACTGTCTTGTCCACCTCAATGATTTTTTTCTAACATGCCTTCACACAAACGAAATATATCAGGGGATGCTAGGGAAAAAAAATATATATATATTACTTTAGATCGGTTGTAAGATGTTTTATATTTTTGTTTTATGATAAGTTTATTATGTTTATTGATGTAAAAATAGGCGAGTCATGTGAATTATTAAATGTTAGGCTGTGGTTATTGTTACACCAGTCTGTAACCAATTCCTAATTCTGATTGGGTATTGTATGGATTGGATTAGGACAGTCAATCAGAATTAAGATTTTGTTTCAAACTGGTGTAACAGTAGCCACTGCCTAAATGTTAAGTCTGCCACATATCGCATCTTATGATGGTCGTATAACCGTCGGCTGACGAATCTATTATTGCTCGCTGCGCTTGTTGACGCAAAATTTGTAGTTTGAACTGCGTATGCCCGTATCAATGTCAATTGACATAAACAAACATACACACAACTTAGGTTTATATTGATTGACCTTAGATGACATGGGTTATGTGCATGCACAGTTCAAAGCATGAATCGTCTTATTACACGCACCTCGTCGCATTGCGTACTCCATGGATTAATATTGACCGTCGGTGCTGTGTGCACCCGTAATTTTTTATATCAAATTCATTGTGACAAACACTTGAGGTTTTCCATACTTTTTTTTCTCTCCATCAAAGCAGCCGGAGAAAGTGAGTAAACAAACAAGACAGTGTTAATTAATTGTTTGGTGTTAATTGCTTTTGATTACTAAATTTAATTTGCTTTTCATCTTTTTTTAAACTTAATTTCAATTATTTACAATTTTGGGTAATTTTTAATTCTTTTATTATTTACTATTGTTTAATTCTCAATTTCTGCATTATTGTAATTCTTTCTTGTGTCTAAATTTTACAAATTTTATTTATTCAAGCAAGTAATTTCTTCTGAAAAACAATTAATAAAGTTATTTCTGATTTTCTGATTTCTAAACTCCTGCTTGGAATGCTATTTTTTTTTCTTATTGATCTAAAAATTGTATTTTTTTCCTTGTGTTTAAATTTTACATATTTTATTTATACAAACAAGTAATTTCTTCTGTAAAAAATTAATAAAGTTATTTCTGATTTCTAAACTCTTGCTTGGAATGCTATTTTTTTCCATATTGGTCTAACAATTACCATTTGAAAACTATTTTAGTTGTTTCCTGACTAACAGAACTTCTTATAAACATTTAATTAATAAATATATACTTATAGTGATCATTAAATGAAAATAAATTCATAAAAAATAATACTTTAAAATGACTGTATTTTGACATTTTTATAAACATTACTTTAACAGGTGGACAGTCACTTTTCTTTTACAAAGCCACAAACCTATCTGGACTTGCCATCCACCAAGCAGGAACTAGAGATGCGGAAAGCGGAAAGTGACAAGAAGTACATGTCTGGGAGTCGGACAAACTTGCACCATGGGGGCCTTACCCTAACCACCAAGGAGGGGTTCCAGATATCCACGGTTGTATGTTCTACAAAACTCACTCAGAATGGTATGTGATCACATAGTCCTATAGGGGACTGTGTTTTAGTTTATCAATTTTGACTTAATACAATTTTGAAATCCCTAGATGTAGCGTGTAGTTGTAGAACAGGTAGATGGATACATAATACAGTTCACCCGCTAATTCGAGACCTCTTTGGGACCTGAACATTTTGGATGGTCTCAGGCTTCCAATCTTCGGGTTCAGTCACCACTTAGAGGGTTAGTTTTTGTGTACAAGATTGATGATTGTTACTTGGTTCTTTGAAAAATTTGTCTTGAATTAGAGGAGTTCTGCAATTAGAGGGATTTTGAATTGGATGGTGCACCGTAGTTTCTATCTTAAATGATTTATCTAGTTACTGGGATGATGCCCAGTGGGAGATAATGTTGAAACCTACTTATATAACTTGTTTAATTTACAATCTATCTTTTTATTGAATTTTCCCATGTGGGATAAATAAAGATATATTGTATTTTATAGATTAGATTTTTATTCTTATATTCACTGCATTGTTATCAGTATATCAAGCAACCACATTTTATTATTTTTATAATTTATTTTAAAAAATTATATAATTTCAGACCTTACTTATAAAGGTTATGTATCATTCATTATTTCCTCATTTTCCATAAATTTCTTTATCTTTTGAACACATTTCCTCTTAGTGATGAATGCAAAGAGGCGAAGGGAAGAGGTTTAAAACATTCTGTTACTCCACATTTTTAATCCCATTATCCACTGCATCTATCACTATTTACCTTGTTAAAATTTTCACTTTTTTTCTAACATCCTTAACAACTTCCTGTTACTGAACTTGCAGTTGACCTGCTTGGGCTTCTCAAGTGGAGGGTAGACAAAGGTGACCTGAAGACAAAACTTAAGCTCTTGATGAAAGCTGATGGTAGTGAAATAGTCAAGGTTAGTTGGCTACACCAAGAATATGCTTGGATATAAGAAAATATATTGCCTCTGTAAAGAAAAAAGAAAAATCTGTATTATCAGTGAACACCTTCAATATGGCATAATATCCCCATTTTTTGTGATATAAACTGAGGAAAAGCGACATGATTACTTGCATATTTTTATGTGTGTTAGGATAGGTAATTCTATTATTTTTTAGAAGTGTTCTAGTTAAAGAAACAATAGTTAAAGTTAAAATACTTGTACAGTTAATAACTTAATATTTAAAGAAATAAAAACTATACTTAAGCTATACAATTATCTCCTTTCACTACAAATACTGCTTTTACATTTTCAGTTCCTCCAAGACACTTTAGATGCTCTCTTCAGTATTTTGAATGAAAACCATGAATCGGAATTATACGACTTTCTTGTTTTTGATGCTTTGGTAAGAAATTATTTCAATCTTCCAAATAAAATGTATTATTTAGTTATAAATATATAAATCAGTATATATTTTTTTTTTTGTGTGCAGGTTTTTATAATTGGTGTCGTAAATGACAGGAAGTATCAACAGTTTCGGCCGGTTCTCGATACTTACATCACTAATCATTTTAGTGCTGCACTGGCATATAAGTAAGTTTTTTCTTAGTTTTCCTATGCACTGGCATATAAGTAAATTTTCCCTTAGTTTTCCTATTGCAATGGTATTTTTTTTCTAAATCCTTTAAAACACCTGGTTTTTTTCCCCACATGCCCCTGTCCGGCCTGAGAGGGAGCGTTTACGTCGCAACCCATGTCAAGTAGCCAATCTGCGATTCCATTTACCACACTACGTAAGCAAGATCATACACACTAGCTACGTAGCGACTCGAGAAGATCATCATTATCATTATGTTCATCATCATCATCATCATCATCATCGTTATTATTAACAGATGATCTACATAACACATTATACAATCTTGAGAAATATCATTGTCTTTTAGCAAGCTGATGATGGTTTTGAAGCACTACCTTGACAATGCTAATGAAGATGATTATCAAGATTCTTTGTTCAGAGCGCTTCGTTCTCTCGAACACATCTTCAAGTTTATTATCCGCTCACGCCAGCTCCATGTTGCGTAAGTTTAAACTTTCTTAATTAATGCTATTGTAAAGTGAAGACTCGCTGCCATGTGGATGACAAAATTCTTTCACATTTGTCACCTAATGTTTTGAGGGATGCCATTAAGTAGAAATTATCCCCAGTTTCATGTAATGAAACAAGAGTGTGTTCTATGCAGTCCTAATCCTGGAAGCATCACGAATAACGTTTAGCTGTGAGATATTCATTTCTGGCCTGTCTGCAACATCTTGTAAGATCGGTATTCTTGATCATGGCTTAAAATTGTTGATATAATATATGATTTTAATTTCTGTGCAGAATGTATGGAGAAACCCAGGGAAAACAAGCCTTTGAATCTTCCATGAGGCAGCTCCTCCATTCAATCAATGATGTCATGACCTACGACCTAGATACGACCTTACGGTGCCAAGTATGTATGAATTTTAGCTGATTTCTGTTTATTTTCAAATGCTCTGCTGTACAACATCATTTTTGTGTATTCTGTACATAACTAATTTTAATGCTGTGTATGACAGCAGCAGGAAGGTGGCCACAGGGATAGAACTGAAATTAGTTATGTTCGGCAGTTGATAAGCAAAAATATTGATACTTGTTTTCCAACCATGTGTTTAAATGGCCGGGTGGTTAGGGCAGGGGCGCCGCAACATACAGCCATTAATATTGACACTGTTTCAAATGGCACGCTCATCTATAGTTCTGGTGGTGGAACAATATTTCTCAGATAAGGACCATAATCCGTAGACTCAGTGTACACATTATTGCTAAGTGTGCATTTTAAAGAACCCAGTACATCTTTCGAGATGAATAGGAGTTACCCAAGTGTACTGGTCTATTTAGTCTCTGTTGTTTACAGACGAGAGTAACTGGTACCAGTTTACCAAGTATATCAGACACAAAGAGCTTATACACATCTAGATGTGTATAAGAGACAGTGTATATATTACATATAGACTACTGTTCCTTTACACTTGGTCTTTGCAATGTAAACAATTTGTATTGAAGTTTATTAGCCAAAGATTAAGAATGTGAAATATATTTTGCTAAGGTTTTATTTTTTTCCCTACTTAGGGAGCTGCTCTGAAATACGTACCACCTATAATTCCAGTCACAATGAAGATTTTTAACCCCAAGGAACTTGCAGTGTATTTGCGAGATTTCATTGAAAGCATGTTTAAGGATCGACTTGTAAAGCAGAAATTACTTTTCATGGATGAGCTGGTACTCAGTGAGCTATATGCAAGACCAGGTTCGTTTATTTTTTTTTTCTCATCTTTTAATAGTGGTTTCATAATTAATTTTTTCGTTTATCCATATTTGATTAAAACATTAATAATATCTTGTATTTTTTAATGGTGTAAAAACATCTGCTACTGTATACATAAACTAAAGTAAAAATATTTTAAAAACACAAAAATAATCACCAAAATTAGTAAATGATTATACACAATCGACTGTATGTGACAGTGTTTACATTATCGGGGACAACACAAGGTTTTATTTATTTTTTATTTAACTCAAATGAATTTGTTCGTGTGGGGTACTAATCAGTTGTGATTTTCTTTTTGCAGATTGTCGCGGTATAATAATGACAACAATAGCCCAACAATTGAAATCATTGATTATAGAACAAACGGAACTGCAACACTGCGGTCAAGTGCTTGGTAACGTTCTACACAGGCTGTGGAGCAACACTGTGGTAAGACAATATACATCTTCTCAGTTTCGTACTTGGGCATTCGTCATACATACAGTATGTCTCTTATTCTTATGACCATTTAGTCTTCTCACACACTGTAATTGTATTATAGTATATCATATTACATCATAACATTCATTTCATTAACATCACCACCATCATCATCATTATCAACAACAATACCATCATCACTATCGTCACCAGTGATCATAATCATTATCATCATTACAAATGATTATCATCATCATGATCATCATCGTTACTAATGATCATAGTCATCATCATCATTATCATTATTTTATTTATTTATTATCCAGTGACTGGAAGTGTTTCTATCATTTTTCGCTGTAAACTGATGGGTAGACATTTAAAAAAAACTAATTTCTATGTTCAAGTTGATAACTTTTATGTTACTTCAAAATGGGCAAGTTAATTTAAAAAAATATTTTTATGATTTTTTTTATATTTAGCATGGGACAATACATCTTTAAAGGGCAAGGATAGCCAAAAAATTTAACAAAAAACCTACAAAACTTAAAATGAATCCGATTACCAGTGATCATCATCGTCATAACCAATAATGGACATTATCATTATCCACCATTACTATTACCACCCTCATTATTTTCATCATAATTATCATTATCCTCGTCATCATTTCAATCATTTTTTTTTTCCTTACTTCATTTATCTTCATTCTCCCCTTCAACTGTCCCATCCACAACATTGTTTTCCTAATGAGAATCTGTAATTCATTGTAATTCTTTTTATTGCAGGGCCCTATCCACTCCGATATTAGTGTATTAATGAAAACTTTGCTACGCACTGTGATACAGTCAGTTGTTTTCATGGACCGAGAAAGTCCCAATGTTGTAAGTGACATTTCTTCTAGTAACACAATCAATATATATTTGCTACGCATGTGAGAAAGGTTTTCTAGAAGTACACATGCTGACTGAAGTCAATTACCTTGTTATCCATTTTCCATAAACCTTATTAGGTCTAGCCTCGATCTAGGCTTCATTTTACCAATGTCATTAGGTTCTTTGTGTGCATCCTTCTTGGCCTAGCAGCAAAATATTCAACATCAGCATTGTCTGATAGCACACTATATCAAATTAGTGCCTGCTCAAGTATAGGAGAATTATGAGGAAATATGATGTCACAACTGACTTATAATGCACTATAGAGAAAATTAAATGAAATATTATTGTTGTTATTATTGTTGTTGATTATTAATTTTTTGTTTGATTATGTCTGCTGCTTTATAATTATTATTTATTAAGGCAGAAGATACAATATACAAAACATAATACTAATCAATAAATCAAACTAATATAACATTAACAAGTACATTAAAAATACCATACTCATTAAGCTGCCAGGAAAGCACAAAAGCAGCCTAAACTATTGTCACCTAATATGTGTGTACCTTCAACTAATGACTACTATAAGATAATACAAATAATATGATATAGATAATATATAAGTGACTTAAGCATTGTAAAATTGAATTTTATACATTTTTAGGGTCAGTTTGTAGCTTGTATGATGTCATTGCTACGTCAGATGAATGAACATCATTATAAGGAGTACATCAAGACGTTTAACACTAAGACTGACCTTATGGACTTCTTAATGGAGATACTCATGGTCTTTCGAGATCTCATCCTCAGGAATGTGTTCCCTTCAGATTGGGTAGTGATGATTATGCAGCAAAATAGGTAAAATAAAGAGCGCCCCCTAGCTCTACAAATATCCAAGTTAAATAAATAATAATAAAGTTAGACAAATTTGCAGGTGTGAGACTTTAATTCTGAAAACTCCTTAAGCATGAGACAGACCCCAAATGTATGAGTCTCATGTCAAATCCATGAAACTTGGTAGGCCTGATGTACTGAGATACATAAGAAAAGATATAGAATTCTTATATAAAGTAATTGATTAACATACAAAATATATATTTGATATTTTCAGATAATAAGAAATATCTAATTAACTCTCTGTAAAAATCCCTTTCACTCTTGCAGGCAGTATTTCTCCCATTTGGATGTATTTTGTGTTTTTTTACTTTATCAATACATAAATGAACAACCTGTTTTCTCCCTTCAGTATTTTTCTTGGAGCAATGAAGCACTTTTCCAAGTTGCTTTGTGAAACGTTTATCCGTGAAGAAGAGTTTGAATTTCAGCTCTGGAATAACTTCTTCCATTTATCCGTCGCATTTGTCACTCAGGAACAACTACAACTTGAACATTTCTCGTCTGTGAAGCGAGGAAAAATCTTAGAAATGTGAGTTTTAAAATGTTCATAAAATTTAATATGTTGTGGATATTGTCCATTGTGAAAATTTAATGCATCACATTTAGTAACTTATATACTTACCTATAAGACAAGGTTTAAAATAGAAAATTACGATAAAAAAACAGTGGGTTGTCTTATACACAAGATATACAAATTTTAGATGTACTAAATCATGTTCATGTGCGAATTGTCCGTAACATGCAAATTTACTACTGCAATGAAGCTACTAAATGTTAGTATGAATGAATAAAACTTTAAATACTAGGAAATAAGATTTTGATAAACATTTAAAAACTCATAAAATTGTATTATTTTGGAAGGTTTAGCCTTGCATTTGGCTCTGTTTTTAACCAGCTAGATGCAGTATTAAGACCATAGAAAGCAGAACAAAAAGTAGGAATTCCGACAATGCAACAGGGAGGTCTTTTTATACGCCCGACATACGTCCAAATATCTTCTCAAACTTCAGGGTTGCCTTATGCCCAAGTATATACGGTAACAATATCAACTTTAAAATCTTTGTGACAGATACGGTGACATGAGGCGCCAGGTAGGCTTTGAAATCATTCGCTCGATGTGGTATTATTTGGGTAAACACAAAATCAAGTTCATACCGGAGATGGTTGGTCCATTTCTGGAGGTCACTCTCATTCCCGAGGTTGAGTTGAGGAAAGCCATCATTCCCATCTTCTGTGACATGATGCAATGCGAATTCAGTGTAAAGAAAGATTTTAAAGAGGTATGTTATTTTCTTTATATATAAAAAGAAATAATGAATTTAAATTTCAAAACTATTTGTATAAATATAATGTTTGTAAACATAAATAAACTTCAATATTTGATTATCTTATTTTTTTGTATATATTTAAGTTATTAATTTTCATTTTAAAAGATTTGCTTTTGGGTTTTCGTAACCCTCATTCACCATGGTAACACCTATAAACTAATTCTATTTATAAACATATGAAGTCTATTTGAAGACTACACTATTAACACAGCAGAACACATTTATATGAAAAATACAAAATATATATACAACAAAGGCAAAACAATTTAATAATACACATGATTACATCATGACTAGATGTGTATAAGTGTAATACTTTCATGTTGCACAGCGCGTTGTAAGGCGTCACAGCGCGTCGCTACAGGAGGCGATCGCTTCATGAAAAAAATCTCCCTATTTTTTGGTTTTCAAACTTGGGATCTCTGTTATTTGTACTTATGAAATACACTCTACCAAAAGCCAATTGACTGATTGATCAATTGATAGAATAATTGATCGATTGATCAGTTCAGAACTTGAACATCAGAACATTCATCTTGATCGGGAACTATACTATACTTTACTATTTTTTGTTGGCAGATTCATTTGTAAATCATATAATATAATTTCTTTGTCGTAATAATTCTCAAAATTCATTTGTTCTCTTTTAACAGAGACGGCAAGCATCATATTATGACAATATCCTTCAGAAGCCAAGGCTTACACCGGAATACTTCAAAGTGTTTTATATCGGACTAAACTTTCCGCCGTTTTTAAGGGTAGGCTGTTGTTTCTGTTATTAGTAATGCTAGGCGTGTGGTACGCCAAAGTTCATCAATTCGATGGAGTTGGCAACGCCACAAGCATAAGTGATCAATGTCATAAATTTCCTGTGCCTATTATGACAATTATTCACTCATTGTTAATGTCATACAATGCAGTCCAACGCGATTTGCTGTCGCGTCGGGTGTATGTGAGTTATATACTGACGCTATAGGTCTGCTCTGGGAACAGTCATGCTATAGAATGTTTAACATGTTTAATATTTTCACAACGACATAAAGACTGTCCCCGCTGATAAGTCTCATCAGGCTGCGTCGTACAACGCTGTATAAGTTGACCTTAAGATTTTTCTTGAATGATTTCAGAACAAAGAATTTATTTTCCGTGGCAAAGAGTATGAGAGGCTTGCTGATTTTGTTGCCAGGTTGCAGCAGCAGTTTCCAAATGCCCAATTGATGAACAAGACCACACCACCTGACACTGAGCTCAAGCAGAACAAGGGGCAAAGTATCCTTTTGTGAATTCTGGTCTGTAAAAAAGCAATTCTGCTTGTTTGACTTTTAATTTTACGTATTACAATATTTTAAATGAATTGTTTGCTGCACTGTGTGTTAGGCAAAAAAAATTGCCCATTCCCAGCTTACTCAAAATCTCAAAAATCTATGGTAGATTTTTTTTTTTTTTTGCAAATATATTTTTTTTAAAAGGAGCTGCCCAAATTATTTATATGTATGTAAATTACACTTTTCAAGATTTAGCTGATTAATTTTTTTACACTAAGCAAGGTTTTTGGCTAAATAGTTACCATTTTACTTCTCAAAATATATGGGATGGGTGATGGTTAGCATTAGGCCTGGGCCTAATCCTATTGTAAGAAAATTGATTGCTGCCGATTAACTATATCTCTGTTTTTTTGCCTTTTGTTAATTTTAATTGTTTTGTTTAATTGTATTTTTTGTTTTTTAAAATTCACCTTAACCTATTATCATCAGTCTTACAAATTGTTCCAGTTCAACCAATGAGAGAACCAAAGAAGGAATTCCGTGGAAAGATGATCTCTGACCAAATTTTGAGGTAAATATTAAACTATACATCATCATCATCGTTATCATCATCATCTTCATTATCATCGCCATCTTTTTTGTTATATTGATTGTTATTAATATGATGTGATCGTTATGTGAACAGATGAGTTTTATATATTTTTATTTCCTTTTCAAATACAATCTCCAGTTATTACGAGGTGAATGAAGTACAACGGTTCACATATTCAAGGCCGTTTCACAAAGGTCAAAAGGACAAAGAAAATGAATTTGCAGTGAGTTTATTTTTTAATTATTGATAGTCTTCTGTAAAGATTTGCAACACATCTTGTTTTAAATGCATATGACTAATATCTGATTCACACGAGACAAAATGTTACGCAGGATGCATGCTGAACTTACACAGCCTTTCTACAATCGAATCTACTTCGATTGATTTGACTTTCTCAAGAATACAAAATGCAGATAAATTTACAAAGACAAAGAACAAAAAAAAATTTGTAAAGCATCTTCAGAAGTCAAAAGTCAGCTCACAAAATTAAATTAATTCCAAACAAGAAATAACAGACAATCAAATAGGAAATCAAAACCAAAACTATAAGATGAAAATATAAATATTTAGATAATATTGCAGAAAATGGTTAAAGATCTATAAAATCACCATAGAATAAATGTTAAAGCCTCGGTAATTAAATAATTATATGATTTTTTTTTAAAATTTTAGACAATGTGGATTGAAAGAACCTACTATGTTACAAATTACCAATTGCCCGGAATCCTGCGTTGGTTTGAGGTTATCAGTCAAAACACAGTAAGTCTCTAAAAAAGCCAGACACCCACTACATACACCAGACACACCGTCAATGGCCGTCGGCTAACGAATCCATCTACACCGTCTGTGAGCTCTTGAAGATGCTACGCCTTATGGGGATTGCCAGTGGCAGTCTGGATCACTAAAAAGATCCATTGCACGCGCATTATCGTATTGTGTTTTCCCACGAAATTTAGACAGCTGTCAGTGCAGTGTGTGTCCACCTTACATAGTGTAATGCGGATAAAAAACAAATTTTTCCAAAATCAAACAATAAACTGAGTCTTACTGTCTTGTTGTCTTACTCGCTATTTGCCTTTGAATTGGCATAAATTTTTACAAGTTTATAACCTGTAAAAGACAAAGTTTTGTCAGTATCAGTCTTAAGAGTTACATCAGTAAAAATATATTTAAAAATTATTCATGAAAGGCATTTATTTTTTTTTACCTAACAGGAAGAGATTAGTCCGTTGCGTAATGCTATAGAGACGATGGAAGAGGAGAACAAGAAGCTTAAGCGGGTGATTACTCAGCATCAAGCTAACATTAATCTGCCCATTAATCCACTCAGCCTACAGCTTAACGGCGTCATTGATGCTGCTGTGATGGGGGGACCAGCCATGTATGAGAAGGTCTGTACATTCTAAAGTTTTTAGTTTAAAAATCTGTACTCAGTAATTTTTTTTCAAACTTAAATATATAGTACAATGGAAACTTTTAAATATTACCATGTCTATTATAGCTCAACCTCCCTTAATGAACTGCCCCGGAATTCCTATCCTTCAAAATTTCACCCAAATTTGTTAGGGACAATTCCAATAAGGACCATTTCTTGTCCTGGCCCGAGAATGGCCCGTTAATGCTGTTTCTACTATATTTCCTAACAGTCTGGCAACATCTCTTATAAATGTCATATTGACCGATAATGATGATGTAGATGATCATTGATGATGATATTGATAAAATAATGTTCGATTTTGAAATGTTAAAATTGTGAGAATTCATGATTTTATCATTGAAGGCTTTCTGTACGGAGCAGTACATCTCACAGCATCCAGAAGAGAGTGAATTGATTACAAGACTCAAAGATCTCTTTGCAGAACAGGTGAGATAAATCAAAAACCGAAAATAATATTTAGTAATATATCTGTTATATATCTGTAGGTAAATAACACTATACATGGTTTTTTTTAAAACAACCAACAAGAAATGTTCTTAGGTGGAACTATGTAGAAATACTGTTGTACTAGTAAAGCCCTGTCCAGACTATCAAATTTGATTTGACAAAAACATGTGACATGCCTAAATATGGTTGTGATGACATCACATCATGACCATATATAGGCACATCATCACTATATATGGACACATCATGACTATATATGGGCATACAACTTGATAATGTGGACAAAGCTTATAAAAAATTATGCTATTTCCAGGGTTTGAACAGAGGATCTTAAGATTAGAAGAGAGTTGTCAACCACCAAGCCTCCACTTGTCGCATATTTAACCATGAAACCGAGTTTGTTTTTTTTGGCAGATTTAGACCACAACTTATGACAATGTATTGTAAAACTATTGTGATAAAAGTTGTTTCTTTTAATAAAATATGTTTCTATTAATTACTATAGAATTAATTTATTTTGATTGATGTCACCATTTCAGCTGTAGCCTGGTGGTTAAGATGCTTGCTTTCCAACATCAGGGTCCTGGGTTCAAATCCTGCAAACAGCGGATATTTTTTTTTAAAGGATTAAAAAAATTTAGTTCCAAAGCCTCATAGTACGACTTTCTTCTTAAACTGTTTCCATGTTTATTCTATCTTTTAAATGTTGATTCATTCACTGTTGATGAAAAATTAATTATTATTTTTGACACACTGCTGTTTTTATTTTGTGTGTTTTTTTTGTTTTTTTTATGTAGATTCCTCTGCTTGAGCTTGGGCTACAAGTTCACAGTCAGAAAATGCCAGAAAACTTGAAGAAACTTCAAGAAAAGATGGACAAGATATTTAATGACAGAAAGCAGAGTGTAGAGTTAAGATATGGCAAGAAGGTAAATATTTAAATCGTTATTAAAATCACATTTAATCGTTCTTATGAGTTAATCTTCCTGAATAAAATCACGTTTAAGATGACTTGATTTGGTTTCATAATGCTTTCAGCTCAGGTTATGAAAAGTCTACTGTCACTTATTTCGAAGATTCATGTTAGCGGATGCCAGACATGGGCGTAGGTGGGTAGGGTGCAGGATGCCGATGCACCTCCCCCACCCTCAAGGCGACCCCAAGTGGTTTAAAATACTAAAAATGACCAAGAAGTTTTTATTGGTTTAGAGATTTACTTCCGCATTCTCAATTTTTTGCACTTCTTTCCTCCATCCCCTTATCCAATAATATCAATATTTGGTGATTCCCTTGTTCTAGGTTATTGAAGATCTTCCATCTTCTGATAAGTTGAGAAGGCAACATATGTTTTCAAAGTTGCCGGGGAATTCTAGGCCGACATCAGTTTGGTCAACTTCATCAAACTCATCAGGAGATACACCGAGTTCAAGGAACAGTATTATATCCATGTCTGACCAAGTGTAAGTACAAAAGCGAACATTAATTTGTCCATGCACCAATAATATAATAATGTATACATAGTTACTATATACATATAATATAATACTTAAAAGTGATAATGCTACATCAGCAGCAAATATAATAATATATGCCTTTATATGAAAATCAAATTATTATATACATTATAATAGTGGACATACGATATAGAACTTTATACACCTTTTGCCAAAGGATACATGGTGGTGGCGATGTACAGTATTATTACCATTGTTCATTGCATTTAAATATACTGGCACAAAATTTAACTTTCTACCTCCCTGGGTAATATATTATACTTAGTGGTGTTGCATTCCACACAGATAGATACATTCAGTACCGTAAAATCCTACCAGGTACACATTTAAACTTCTGGGTGAAGCAATACAAACGTAGGTAAAGTGCCTTGACCACAAACACAAACAAAATTCACAGCAAAGGATTTAACTGAAACATAACTGCTATTAATTTGATTTTTTAAATTGAAATTGACAGGAGCATTGGTTCTGGAAAAGGTGCAACCCCTCAAAAAGAAAAGTCTAGTACGCCGGGAAAGGTCATGAAACGTAATAGTCGCATTGATGTACAGACTGAAGACAAAATCAACAACCATAGTAACACAAAGGATTCCGCACCGGAACCAATCATTTTAGAAGAGAAGGTAAGTGTACACGTTAATTCCATTAGTAACTAGGCTGCACGTGGATCTTCAAAAATCACTGCCATTTGTCTGACAGGGCTGAAGGCCCCAACTGGGGAATGTATAAATAAGCCTAACAAACTATTTTGTTGGTGGTTATTACAAGCGCCCTCAGGTAGGTTCCAGAACAAAACCTTCTAGCCTTCTTGAAAAAATCGAAAACAATAAACCCAAATGGCAACAATCCAAAAAAGGCATTATGAGCAAAAATCATAATTATAGATCATTTACAGTGGAATTTTTGTTGTGGGAAGGATGGTTATGAACTGTTAAATTTTGCTAAAAATGATCATGAAGATAATGTTAATAATATATATTAATAAATATTATATTTGTATTTTTATTGATGTTAATTTTTATATGTCATATTCTAATCTGATTTTATTCCTGCATGTTAATTTATTCAATAATGCTTTTATTAATTTGATTGCATGATTTTTCATATTTATTTAAAGGCGTCTTCCAATCTGCTTCGCACTTCATATTAAGTCATTCATATTCATAATATTTTTATTAATTTTTAAATTATGATTATGCTTATTACTAATAATGGAGAGTCTATGAGGAGAAAAGGATATTAGGGAAATAATGTGGATCGACATTTATAAAAAGGATAATCTAAATTGGGAAAAAATAATTTAGTTTTCATTTTTTTTATAACATTACCAATTCTTTCTTAAGTAAGAAAAACACAACTTGGCACTTTGCCGTGTGGTAGATGATGGTAAATGAATTTCTTCATAACTTAAATGGAAGTAATGATACTAATCATTACTGTTGATTAAAAACAAGCTTTAATCAAGGGATTAATTTGGTTTGGAATAACTATTGCATTATTTTGGCTTAATTTTTCAGATAATTAAACATTTAACCACTTAACCCTTTTAACAGATTGTAATAAATGCATTTAGATTTGTTTAATCAGTAATATCAAATTAATTAAATATAAATATAAGAACTACTAATAAAGGGAATTAATTACCACTGTTAATTACTTACACTCTTAGCACACATATGCTATAATTTTCTAAGGTTATGTTATTGTTATGTTAATAATAATTAATATGGATTGTTGATTGTAAACTTGGTCATGTGATAGGGTCATGTGACTTAGAATCATGTGGTCAGGTGGTCTCTAGTAAAACATTGGTGGCAGTTTCTACCAGCTGAACGTAATCATTGCGTTTCATTTTTAGCTGCAATCAAGAAGACCTCGACGAAAAGAAAAAGGCCAAACCAGAACAATGCGGCCAAAGACAATGCATGGTAAGAAATATGGTGATAATAGGCTTGACACACACCCTGGGGATATAAATTCACAATTTTATAGAAAATAGGAGTATCTCAAATTGAAAGTGGGTGTTAAATGGGATGATTTTGAAAAAAAAAATTCTTTGTTTGCAAGTACCAATTTAGGTATAGCTAGATTAGATTTTTTTATATAGATTTTGATTTTAGATAACCCACGAAAGTCTGAAGAAGACTTATATCCAGTGTGGGGGGGGGGGGGTGATTGGGCAGTACACCGGGAGATAATCTCCTACTCTTTTCCAAAGAGTGCACTGCTTTCCTTTACGTGCACATGGGCCATAATGCACACAGGCTTAAATCAACGGCTTAAATGTCTCATCCGAAAGATGGTGCACTATCGTAACTTGCATTTCAGCTCTCCAGCTAAAATACAAGGAGAGCAGCGATGGGAATTGAACCGGGGACCAATAGATCTCCACAGTCCAGCACACGCACAGTGGCTACCACCAGTTTAGCCGACTGAGCTGAGCTGCTCTCTTAGATAATATATTACAGTATAGTGAATGAAGTGGATGGAAACAGAATTGGAATTAAAGAGTTGCTGGAAAAATCACTGGATAATGTTAAGCTCTAACCTAACTATCAAATTTTCTTTTTAAACAAAATGTGTTGTATGCCCTTATATAGTGATGATGTGCCTATATATGGTCAGGAATTGATGTCATCATGACTATATTTAGACATGTCACATGTTTTTGTCAAATAAAATTTGGTAGTCTTGGACAGGGATTTAATTTTGATAGTCTGTATTGAATTAATACCATCTGTTGTAAATTTAGGAAAAACTCCTCAAAAATTAAATTAAAACATATAATTGTTAATTAAAAGTAACAAATAAGTTAAAAAGTTTTAATGAGTGACAGATAGAAACAATTCAGTGTTTATTATATTATTACTATTTTTATTATTATTATTATTATTATTATTATTATTATTATTATTATTATTATTATTTTGTTATTACATTATAGTTGTTGGTGGGTATTGTTATTATTATTTTAATGTTTTTTCTTCATAATCAATGTGTTGTTGCCTAACCATTATATTTTATGATTTGCAATTATCTTCATTTTGATACCCAATCATTGTAGCGTCTTTCACATTATTTGCAATTTGTCTTAGCTACATTTATGTACATAAATTAAGTACAGTCACAGATCCTTCCATCAAAGTCGACAAGAGGATGATTTAAAGAACTGCATGATGCACCAAAACTAACAATTATTATTATTTTGTCCTTAAGATTACCTTTAAGAATCATCCCATTGCAACTTAATGTTTTATATACATGTATAT